TCAAATAAACGTCATGTATTTTATGTATTTCGAGTCTATTACATCAAAATTAGGTCTTGGATAGCTACATAATTTATAACGAGCACATTTGTAATTTGTCTATATACGAGATAATTATTAACTATCACTTTCCATCAGTTGACCTAACAACTTGTTTACCATACTCAGTAATATAAAAATAATATTCTTATACCACTAAGAATTCTGTTTGTGTACTTAGGTATTACTTAATTATACATAATCGCTTAAATTACGTATATGGTTAATATTCAAGATGAACCGGTTTATCAATACAAATACAAACTAAGTAGGTTTAAAGTAATAGAAGATTATCAAGATTAGTAATATATTACATATAATTTCAATAATAAATCAGTTTTTTTTTTTATTTAACAAGACCATGTACATCATATAACCTACGTAATCTTAAAATTGTTTTTCAGCAATTATTTTATTAAAAGTTTTTGCCATTTAATGATTTCATATGAATAGCAACAAATAATTAATGAATTAATTTAGTCGATATTAAACGACAAACTAATGACGTAACAGGGTAATTTTCCCTCAGGGCTTGTTCCGTATTCGCTCAAGGGTGGTGAGGTCTTGAATAAATAAAATGCAATTTGACTAGGGAGCAATACTCTCCCCTACATCATAAGAGTTGCATAGAACACAGTTATGCAATCTCTCAAACGCTTTAAAGAAATCTAGGGGAGGTGTGATTATCAATTTAGATGTAATATATTTGTAGTTTACAAATTACCATAAACAAGCGCAATCATTATTATGAAGGGAGTTAAACAGCCGTATCTCACGAGCGATTACACTTGACGAAACATGTGCGGAGTAAGTTACCACAATAAAGGATAATCTATATATTAACGTCGCGTGCTTCAGTTTGCTAATTCGGTGTAACTGAAGGCTGTGAAAGGCATAGGCCACGTGGGCAGGGCGTCGCTATGGCAACGGAGGAAACTACGTCGTTTTCCGCCCCACTCCGCCAACCCACAGGGAATGGTCTACATTTCCCGACATTTAATACACAACAACAGTTGTTACCGCCATTATTTATACTTACAGTCTCGAGTTTAAATTACGTATTGTTAAGTAGCAAATGGTATTATAGATTATACAGATGAATAAACCATTCGGAAACCCAGTCATATTATGACGTATGAAACCGATCTTTATACAACGAATGTGGTGAATATGTAAATAATTTTAACTGATTCAATAAACCGCACGGTCACATTGATTCATTCTAGCTAACGTTGAACGTAACGTACTGCCTTGTATTCTCTGATGGATTGAACAATTAAAGCTGCTAACTTAACTTTGTGAACTAAAATATATTTATTTCAAATATAGATTGTTTAGTTCTGTGAATACTGAACACTACTTACATACTGGCAAATTAAGATCAATCCTATTTATAATTATAATGAGGCTTATAGGCACGTATAAAACTATCGTAATTCATTGAGCATGCTGATTCAGAGAGGAAATTCAGTCATCGATCTAATTTAGGAGGCACATTTCACAAGAACTTGATCGCCGAACCATGACGACTCGACTTTAAAATTGGGAATTTAAATCTACAATGTGTCACGATATTTTTAAATTGTATGGAGTAAAAAACTCTTCGTCACAAGTACACGACGTATCACTCAGTGACGACATTTTCATTGCTAAAGTGGTCTACTCAAAAAACCAACTACAGTTTCAAGGTGACAAAATTATGTAGCTCAATCGACACCGTTTCATTTATATTATATCTTAGTTCCTTTCTTTCTAATACATGCACAATTAACTATAAGCAAATGACCACACCTAAAACTACAAGCTATGCTTTATTTTTCTTTATCCCATCAATTATTATTACTGTGTGTTGATACAATAAAAACATCTGTCAACTGTTGCCATTGTGGTTGTGTGGTGTGCCAATATTGTCAAATATACGGTATATTTGACAATATTGATTATTGCGATAAGAATATTTTATTTTCTGAATTACTATTTTTCATATAGATCTACAGATTTACTATATGTATATCTACTGAAAATATCCATAAAGTAACGAGTTTGTTTATAATAAAAACGTTGTTCTTAAAATTTTCGACGTCGACACGTATCCACGGGCAAAATTTTCAGGATAAATGGAACGAGCAATATGCTACTGTTGGGTATCCTCATCAAATCAGTGGCCCGTAATAATAACTTCATTGCAAAGGGCTACGAAATTTTGCCAGACAATTTGGGACAGAGAGTAACCCTCCGTATTAAGAGCCTTACCATAAGCCATACGACATATTGTTTGAGTGAAAATACTTCTATTCAGTATTTCGCGCGACTTTGTTCGCAGAACTATAAAATATCTAAATTATAAAATAAGCCAAATTACATAACATATAAAAAATAATAATAAAAACTATAATATCCTATATGTGCATGTAAAATACGGATACATTATTAGTGAACTTGTGACTTTTAATGCCAGAATGTATCTAGAAAAATTAAAATACATGAAATAAATAATAAATTTTACGAAACATACGAAACGGTGATTTAATCAAACTAATTCAGAAAAAAAAACATTTTATTCCTAATACCTGTCTAGATACTAAAGCTAACGCAAATTAAGCATCGCATAGAGACAAGTAGCAAGTGATAGAGGTCAGCACACTGTAAGTACCTTCCTACTCTTCTAGTTGTTTGGCCCCTGTCAAAATGCAATTGCGTGTCCATCAGAACCCTCGCTATTATTGGAAATCCCTGCTTCTTTGCGCGATCTTGTGGTTAACTGAACAATTTCGTTGAATAGGGATATAAAACAAATTGTACAGCCACCGAACACAGTAGTTCTTTCGCATACGATATTCGGTAATTTAAATATCATATAAACATAATTCCTGTATATATTTTTATTAATTGGTAATTATAAATAATTAAGTAAATAGTATGTACTATGCAGGTACATAGTGCTATTAGACATAACAAATCGCTTGATGTCCGCCGCGTCCGGAGTTCGACAAGTCGGCTAATGAAAGGAGATGGCAGACCGATTAGAGAATATGGAAAATATGTCAACTGTAATTAATCATACTTCCTGTACTTAGAATAAAGTCGACAGTGCATAACTATGGAATGGAACTAAAAGACTACGGAACTGAATTATATATACAATCATTAGAAGTATATAGTAAATGGTATTCGTATTTCCTACATAGGTATAAAAGGAGGAATGATCTAAGCCAACAACGCACACTTGATACAAATGGACTTATAGTTTGTGTAATTAATTGATTTAGTAGCGAGTTTCAAACGCATGTCGATGCAGTCGCGCAATTTGTTTCCAGTTTCAGTTGAACACAGGAAGCGATACTGTAAAATTAGTAAACTCGAGACGTTGTGGACAGAAGACGCCAATATCTAGTTTCCAAGTGTTCATTGTAGCTGTCACATACAATGAGCCCGTTGCCGTGGCGAAGGCCGACCCACCGTGGCATAACGACTGCATTAAATACACTGACGGGTGCATCAACAACTACAGAATATCGTTTTGTTTCAGCTTTCTATTAACAAATCCAAACGTGACAAAGTAATAACAACTTATAAAAATATTTCTAAAAACTTTGTCAATTTATGATTCCCATTTTTTATTACATATTTTTTCTTGCAGCCTAAAGAATCTAATTGTCCATATTGTATAAAAAAATTATATATATATAAAAATAAAAATTTTATACAGTAAGTTATATTTATATTTGTGTATCATATTAAATATGCCTCAAACATTTACATCTGCTTTCACTATCATAACCTTCTAAGCACCAGTAATGCAATGTAGTCCCTTTCTCTTTCTTCAAAAGAGAATGAAAATACTTCTTAGCGTCAACAAAGTACAAATATCAACTACTCATTATTATTCTATATATTTTAATATTAAAAAAAATCAATTTAATTATCAATTTTAAGTAAGTAAACTTACCTACTACAGCGTTCGTTTTATATGAATTAAGTATATACATTGTGGTTAACCACAAAATTGAATTAAATTGATAAATCCACTAACACAACAATCCGTTCCGTTACACACACAGTTTAATGAAAATGACTAATCATAAACAGGGAAAATTATGCGTACAATTAACTACTGAATTGTTAAACTACAAATTACTTATTAAGTACATGACTAATACCATACATAGCAGCTGCCTTAACTTGATATTGCACATCCGTTGCACGTATCCACAAGAAATAAGCTTGCTAAATGCATGAGGCGGCAGCTGCTAGAACTGGTCTTAGAAATCATAATTATATTTCAATGTTATTTGTTACTAATGCTAAGTTAAATGCCACATGAGAAACTATGTATTCAAATATGTTTGATATCAATGCAAAAAATATTTTAAAATAGCTGGTGCAAGGTTTAATGACTATACTTCTATTGTATAAAAAACAAACTTTGTAGCCTAATTGTTTACGTACTACTCTGAATTAGATTAGCCGATATCAACAGTTGGTATGTCAATTTCTATTATTGCCTGACACTCCTGTGGTAGAAAAATCGACAATAAATCAAAATTAATCTAGAGGTAGCTGTAGATTTATCAGCTCCTATGGATCAATGTATGTATATACACTGCCATGTACACTGAAGCGTTGACATTATGTCGACAAGTGACTAAATATACGATTTGGAATAACTGTATAAGATATAATATTATTAATACAAAAATTAAGAACAAGGTTCACTTAACAAATTAAATTAATTACAATGCTATTACACGCAATAATAGCAAAATATTATTAAACGATGATTCACACTGACTCGCCAAGGATACAGTCAATGAGTTCTGAACTTACGAGATGTGATCATACTTCGCTGGTTATAATACCATTTGATGTACTTTCCCGGTTTATATCGTTAATACTACGAACTATTATGAATTCAGTGCTATATACAATAAAATGACTAATTTTTCGTAATTTGGTTTCAGATTATCAAAATATATCAACCTGGAAAATTTATAGCCTTCTGAATAAAGGTAATTTCTAAATACATAATCAATATGTTATTTCTAGAAATGTCCCAAACACGGTAGTGATTCAATAATATTTGGTAAACATGGGGTCAAAACAATACAATTAGTTCATGTTTCGTTAGTGTCGTCAACGTTCTAAATATAGTATAGTTTCGTAACAGGCAGAGTGTGTGTGTTGCGTGCCCACTATCATCCTGTTAAGAGTCAGGATGGATTGAACAATTGTTCAAACAAGTGCTGTCCATCCATTTCAAGTTACGCAAATAACTGTCATTAACTTGTCCAACACAACAAGCAGATGACATGTCAGGGATCTGCATGCGGCCTTTACCATTAGATACTAGTAAAATATGACGTATGCAGAATGGCTAGTTTTACAACGTAAAAAGAACTACTGTTACCAAAATAAAATACGACGATAAATGTAACATGAAACTACATATGATATGTGTCAACTACATATGATACATAAATCTTTGTTTTAAACAACTTTCGAAAAAAAGTAAAATATGTCGCAAAGTATTAAATGTGTTTTTTTTTTATAATAACAAAGGCTATTGAAAATAAGATAGATCAACAAAAGTGTGATAGAATTGGGCCAGTGTGTCGTGGTATCTAATAAGCACTATTACCGACAATCAGACGGCGACCTTGCTGCTCGTTGTCGCACGAGTCGTGGGGAGGCGCTGATTGTCATCCTCCATTCCGGCATCCTTTTGCTCATCATTATGTAATACCCTCACCGGATCGCAATTTTACATCCAGGACGTACGAATTTCATTCAACATCATTTAAGATAAAACGCATATGACTGTATAACTTGTAAAAGTATCAGTACTAATGATCACAATTTTAATTGAATAAACCAATTAACATGAAAACATGGTACGGGAATTTATTAAATAGGTATTACTTAATCATTTAAGTGTAGTAAACAGTTGCATCTATCATGTGCATTGATTATTTAAAAATTCTTTAACGTGTCCCACTAGTTAAGGCTGGTTTTGGAATGTATACTTACATATGTATGTGAAACGTAACAATGTGTGTATACTCTATCCATGTATACATCGTAAGAGAGAATAATATCCTCAACAGATTTATCTTTTCGTAAAGCTTAAAAAACAGAAACGTTAGAAAGTGGTAAAAAAATAAAGAAGTTATATGAAATATATTTTATAAATTGACACCTTCATAAATATATTTACTAGTAGATGCAACTGGAGTGAAGAAATACAATAATTTAAAAATATTTAATGCTTTTTCTGTTACATCGGATTATACAAAATAGTACAAGTTATAAAAAATAATGAGATTCTTTTCTCTCGAATGATTGATGTGAGCCATAAACTGTAATGGAAATACAAAAGTTGTGTTTCAAGCGTAGATAGACACAACGAACTAACAACAAGTACTTATTTGAACAATGATTAATATATTTGAAGATTTCTAAATAACTCGTAAAATAAAGACGTTGAAATAAGATGTCATTCAACCAGGGTTTGTTTAATCTCCAAACAACAACTTCGTTTTGTTATAGAATTATGTACAGACAGAAACAATAGTTATACTCTAGGGTGTCACAACACAAACCAAAACTTTCTTTAACCAATTTTTGTCTAGATTATTATCTACTGCTTATAATTCGTAATAGCTCGCTTGGTAATCGATAAGTATATGATATATCATGTGATATAAATCTTCTATCCTCATTTAGAACTTAACATTGCAAATTGCTACTTCTAATGTTAGACTAGAATATACCTGGTATCAGGTGCGTGCAATGACACCAGGTACCCCGGCCAGTGATAATTAGCCCCTTGCCGCTTGATTTATAGTCTACTTTGTCTTGGAATATAAACTGTTCTTATTTATCATTATAGCACTAGCGATCAGTGCCAGTTTTTAGAAAGATTACAATCTGTTTTATTCAAATGAAATTATTGTTGGATATAATAATATCAAATTTGTCAATTTTTTGATAATAAATCGAAATGTTTTCTCTATTGTGTTTTGAACAACAATCTCCCATCACTGTTTAAAATTAATAGTAACTCATTATTAGTTACGGAACGGAAACGAAAGCACATATCTGAAAATCATGGGCTCAATTTATCCTTTGACATCTCCCAACATTGTTACGGTGCGCGAATATGGCGCTTGTTCATGAATGTGATAAACATATTCAGCCAGACGGAACCATTCATAAATTAAACGACGGAAATTAACTGTTCTACCATATTCGTTACGCGGTAAGTAAAAATAAAAAATGCAACTCATCGATATGAATCTATCTTCAACGACCTCTATTACGATAATAGATATACCAGCTGCATTCAGGCGGACGACACGAACTACTACGTATTACTACGACATTTTGCGTGACAACTGTGGTGGAGAAGTCTTTATTATTTGCATTATTACAGTGATAAATATTCAATACTATACCTACTATTATATTCTTTGAGAAAAACTTCTAATAGTTCATGTAAACTATACATGGTATTGCAAGCTACATATCTTTAAAATAGCAAATAACACGAAGTCAACAAGTAAATTTTCTATTTCAATTATAAAATTCAATTTAAAACAAAAATACGTAGAAATTCTCAAAGCTTATAGACATTAGGAGTGTCTCAATAACTTTGACGACTATACACGATATTTAGAGTCCAATTTAGTTGAGTTGCTTTTTATTGAGTGATCATTACTTAATTGTATTGTCAACTAACAACAAGCGTGCGAGAGCAATCCATGTCAGAGTCAGCATACCACGGACGCGGCCCGCATCTATTGTCTAAGAGCTTTGATGGCTTTAGAGCTCTGATGGGAAGGTATTTCATTGTGAAGTGTAACAACAAGTCGTAGCATCAATAACGTATTCATTGACAACAGTGACATACATCTATACATACAACCAGATCATCTACAGCAGACAAATAGTCATATATAAATAAATCTTGGTATACAATGTAATTAATAATCATCATAAGTTAGGATATGTATAACACCAAAACGCAGCAGAAGACTAGATAGAAATTACAAAATACATATGTTGCAACTTTTAAAAGACTATTCTCATTAGATTTTATCTCTAACAAAAATGAGCATAAAAATGCCATAGAGCACTGATAGTTGTGGTTGTGCCAAATGGTCTATAGGCATGAGGTTATTCCCACGCTATCAGCTGGTTCACGCGTCGGCGCGCGCGCGCTTTCGGCCGCAACACTGGTCACTGGTCCCGACGCTTGATAAAGCCGGAATCAGCTCATAAATATGGAGCCCAATAATTTTATTATAATTATTGTGCAATGAATTAAGGCAACAGATATGAGTTGAAGTACGTTAACCGATCATAAAAAGTGGACACATATTCGCTATATGTCCCCATTATAAGTAGATGGCTCAATATTAGACAATGTAAAAATTGTAAAGATGTCTCTCGTTCATCTTTTGGATGACTGTAGTCAATATATAATACGTACATTACTTTCTAAAAATAGATCATCATACAAAGCAAAATAAGGTAACAACAATATTAGTTGATATAGATATATATAGTATTCCATTGGTGACAATATAAACTAGAACTGTAAAATATACCGTAAATAATATGAAACAACGCTTGACGAGGCGAATAAAAAGTATGACCGAAATAGCTATGGAATTAAATGTGAGGTTGTATTCGTTTTCTGACCAACGAGCCTAACAAAGTCTGCAGGAGTAGAGAAAGCAGTGTCGGCAACTTGATTCATTAGCTGGGACGATGGAGCGGCGTCTGATAACAAAGCTATTACTGCGATAATTGCCTTCCAATGAGGACCGCCCATTTTACTACTTAGTAACACTGGTACAACAATAAAAGTTTTTACTACAACAATGAAATATAAGACACACACACATATAGAACAACAAGTTTCAAACAGTTTGTATAAATAAGAATTGTACACCGTTTATTTATAACATAACTGTTAACAGTAAACGTGACAGTTATAAAACATTGCTGTAAAATGTTGATAAAGATGCAACGGAAAAGTGATTGATAATTATTCCATACAATAAGTTATCTCTTATAACAAGTCCAGTCACAAATAAGTTGCGAGAGATCATCATTTACGATAGATTTACTAATACTAGACATTATAATGTATATAACATGTTTGAAACACATAATTCAAGAATACTTGTACGTATACATACTGATGCAAACGGAACTTAAATGAAATGACCGGAACAATATGTAAAGAGACACAGACGTGTTTCCATAAGTGTTCTAGTTCAAATTTCGTAGTACCAGTAAAGATATGATATTATAACGGATGTTGTAAAGCATATCCACTACGTATCCGTTAGAATAGTTTTGGCCCTAACAGGTAAAGAAACCTGATAATATTGTAGATTACGGACATGTCACAAACTTTTGTAGGGTCAAGTGTAATTCTAAGTTAGCCCTACCTAACGGTTACAAGATCTAATCATGATACCACAATATGCATTGTTGGTAATAGAGGATTCCACTAAATAAATATAATGATAAATTCCAAATCAATACAAACTTTCTCTTATTTTATTTACCTATTTCTAGAGTGAATAAGAAAAATGCATCATTGTTTATATCCGATGACAAAAGAAGTGATTGACAGTGAGTGACGTTGACATGCAAAGATAGTTATATCTGATGATGGACAATACATCAAGAGTCCCACAGATGTCTCACTGTCGATGTTTGGGAAGTAGACAATTCGTACTTACCAACCAACATGCTGGTAAATAAAGTTATAAGCCTTATATATAGAAAAATAATATATTATTAGAATACATTATTTGGTGACACGAAATACAGTAATTAAATTCAATTAATTCTAAATTTTGTTAAATAATGAAGTATATAAGACAACTTACTTGATACTCTAACTAAGCCAATACAGTGTCTAAGTTATGAAAACATTAATGCGATGACATTACACATTTTGCACCATCGTTATTTAGCTGGGTTATAAGTG